AGCCTGTCCTCCTTGAGCTGCCACCCTGCCTTCCACACTCAGCCCCCACTACGTCAGTGGTCATTTCCTAGGCTGAATCATCCGTGAGCTGGTCACATAGCACTTTCGTGCTCCAGCCACAAAATCTACTCCTACCAGGCTTGAGCTTTCCCGAATTCACACGCTTCTCCATTCCTTGCTTCTCACTGGTGTCCTGCAGTAGCAGTTATTTTTCTCCTTCTTAGCAGCTGGTGCTGGACACCTGGTAATTCCCTTCTGTTTCTCAAACTCCCTATATGTTTTATTTCTCTTTCCTCTGCTTTGCCCATTCCCATAACTTCAGTCCTTCCCCTGCTTCCTCTTGACTCCAGAGTCTCTTTGCCTGGCATCAGGATATTTGTCCTCGGAGGAGCCAAACCGTCACAGTTCGCCTTTGGGCAAACTTCCTCCAAAACAGCAATTACCCTGCAATCCAAAGGTTCATCTTTTCTTCCCATACCATAGCCTGGCTGGGCTGCAGCCTTTCCATAAGATCACTGCTAATTTCAGGTTGTAGGCTTTGGAATAATAAAATCTGAAGTTCAAGACTTCATTCTTCAAGTTATGAACAGATGTAAAATCTCCCTGTTCTCCCAAGATACAACTTGTTTTTCTCACTAGGCCTTTTTTATTTGAAAGGCAGTCCATGTGTTGTCCAGCTTGAGGGCTAACTTGGCTTTAGGAAGAGTCCATCTCTCTTGTACAAAACCATGCTGATGGTTGCAGCCTTGAAGATACCATGCTGATGCTGGCTTTCAGAGGGCAAATGCAGGCAGGAGGTTCCAAAGAGCAGCTTTAGTTCAAGCTTTTTGTTCTCTGCCCTGTTCCATATAAATTACATGATACTGTCTTGTTTCCAAGGAACTGGGAACATGTCCCAAAGCAGTGCAGTAGACTTGCCTGTTTGGCATTGTTTGTGTAGTCATGACTTTTCCACTAGGATCCTGCTTTGTGAACAGTTTGAAACCCTTCAGACCAGGCTGCAAGCTCCAGCCAGCTGATACTTGCTCAGGAAGACTGTAGTCTCAGAACTCTTGCCAGCCTGGTGATAAGATCTGCTGTTTGCCAGGTGCCCCTGAGGGACTGCTCTATGCTGTCTGCTTAATCTGAAGAACTCCAGATTGAGGAAATGGCAAACTACAGTGCAAGGAGGGTTGTGGCCTGCTGCAGGAACAGCCCTCGCCAATCCCTTCATCTTCTCTATGTGCCCATTCCACGATTTGGAAACCTACTTACAGGTCACAAACTTTCATCAGCAGTTTAGGTGGATGCTAGGTTTCCTGGAATAACTGAAAACAACCTTTTACTGCCTCAGGACCTGAACCAAGTAGCTGGGGCAAGAACTGGAGATGGAGCTTCTTTGTCATGAAAGCTTCAATCCCACGTAGTCTAACTGGTTTACAGGGAACATTAAAGATTTAATAGTTTATTCATTTTTTAGCAGTCCTGATGGGTCAGCAACTCAACTGTGCCCTGGCAGGAGGAGGTGAACAACTCCTTTTTGGAGCTGCCCTGGCCATATGTTAGCCAGCTGCTGAGTGACACAGACTCAAACACCCAGGCACACGCAGTGATTACTGAGTACAAGTGCCAGTCAGATTATAATGTGTTGCTTCCTCGTGCATGGTTAGGTGACTTATTCTGATATCGCTCCATTTTTCATTCAGATTTTTCATTACTGCCACCAGTCCTGAAGGGGAAGTCCCATGAGCCGCTTTCTGCTTCTTTCACTGTCTTATACTGAGCCTTTGAAGGTACAGGGTCCCCAGCCTGATATGTGTGTGTAGATCGCTGCTTTTTCTTTATGCTATTTTTATATATATATTTGTAGGTATACTTGCTTTGGTTGATTTGCTTGTTTTCTAACCGCTTCTGACTTTCACACTAAATGCATGCAACTACTGGTTGGCTTGATATTTTGTAAACTTTGATTTCTGGGTTGAAAATTTCTAACTAATGTTTTACCATTTTATTAAGAGATTGTGTTTGGCATACAGTATTCTGGAGTATAGCCTCCTGAGGCTAGAGGACAACACCTGGCTGGCATCTTCCTACGCAGCACACTGTGGGAATGCCTTTCTGTATGATCCTTCTCATCAAAGAGACCTGAATCCATAAGCCAGAGAGACAGCTAGCTCCACTTCCATCCTAAGCAGTCCAAGTCAGGCTTGAGAAGTACAGAAAAGACAAAAGGCAGAGAAATTACCATTACTTTGGCTATTCAGCTTTCCATTTTGAGTACAACAAACAGCACATGCATATCACAGAGCAGTGTGGTAGCAAGCAGAATGCCCTGGGCTTGCCCTCCTCTCAGTCTCAGTGCAAGCCGTATAATGTGCCAGCATAATGCTGCACTGAAGCTGATCAGCTCACACAGGTTCCCTGAGAATACAGGTATGCAGCTTCCAAACCCTAGGATGGTGCATCTTCTCAGTGCTCTCCATGCCTTGTGGGCAGCCTGGCTTTTTTGGAGCCAGCATGAGCATCCTAAATGCATTGTTGCCTTTAGCAGTGTGAGGAAGCCAAAATGACTTTTTCCACTCCGCTAATGAAGGCATGGAGGAGCTGCCTTGGCCTCGTGTAAACATCTTCAGAGTGCTACTCTTCTTTTACCTGAAAGTGTTTCACTGAGGTTGCCATCACCCCAGATCAGCTCGTTAGCAGCAGTGTAGGAGGTATTTGTGGAGCTTACCTTGAAACCAGAGGGATCCTTTTGTCCTACCTTTTTCAGAGCAAGTCAGTGTAACGTGTTGCTCATGACATTAGTGATGATAGCAGCCACAGAGCTTTTCCTGCTGCTGCAGCAGCAGCAACATACTTGCATAGAGCAGTCTGCCGTAGACAAGAACTGTTAGGAAGCAAGTACTGGTAGGGAGAGAAAGCCTCTACACTTCAGCCGTTAGGTTAATACAAATAATGTCGTAATGCTGACACTCAGAGGCTTTTGTGTTTGGACAGATGTTCAACACGCATATATGCACACACACACTTGGGCAGTGGGAGGAAATCTGTTGTTGGATACATGTAAATATGCCTCTGTGAAATGGGGTCCCTCCTGCACAGCTGGCTGCAGTGAGCTCCTGGGGTCTAAAAAGAAGAAAGTTAAGGGTGTGCAGGGAGCTTCTCTCGTGGGACAACTGAAATAAACATTTGGCACTGTCAGTTCTCTCCAGTGACTAAACACATCATGGTGGGGCTCTGGCAACATGTTTTTGACTGTTTGGTCCCATGTCTATAAAGTTTTCTCTGGATATCAAAAAGTGCTCCATCAAATTACAAACTGTGGTTAAGAACAGAACAAAGTACAAGCTTTCTTAAATGTAAGCATTGTTTGCAAGTTTTTTTAAGTGAAATTGCTCTTTCTCCTGTACAGATCTCTCTGATGTGTTTTAAATTAGTTAATACCTGTGCATCTGCTAGCTGGCCCACTTTAGTGAAGGGACAGATGACTGAATATATGTTCTTACAGCTTCTTAAAAATGAATAAGATTGCCAGATCCCCTGGGACCTTAGCAATCCATATATCACTGTATAGCCTATGACTTTATTGCTATTCTTCCTGCCTTGCATCAGCTGCAAAAAAATAGAGGATTTTTCTCAAATGGCCTTGAGATTGAATAAGCAGATAATAAAAGGCCTTTTAAAAATAGAAAAAGGTTGAAACTTGCCAGGTGTAAGCTCAGCAAAACTTCTTTTGGCATCAGTCCCACATGTAGTTTAAAGGCAGGACACAACATTCACAATTGGTCTGTGGTAGTGTTGGCATGTAACCTCTCCCCTTCATTTCCACTTAGCATCTGTAAGAAGGATTACTCCATAGGGGTCCTGTGGGTAGCACTAGCACCTTCCCCAGGCACCAGGGCCATAGCTGTACTGTGGTAGGATGGTGCTGAGCAATGCCCTGACACCCATCACAGGGACACATCCTCTGAAGATCTGTGGCATGGCACCCACTATGATAATGATAAAAGGGGCTGATATCCATAGATGTATGCTGTACAAAGGCCAGCCTGCTGTATGTTCCCCATGCCAAACACATGCATGACACTCGAGGGCAGAATGTCTGCTCCTGAGTTCACAGCTGGGATTCTTCTGATCCTTACTTTGTTCCAAATTCATGTTTTAACATGTTCAGCTCCCTGCAGAGAACAAGGCCTAAGTTCCACAACGGAACAAAAAAAACCCAACCATATAGTAACAACGGGCTCTTTTATAGTGAGACTTGTTTTGGAAGAGTAAGCAGAAAGATTACACAGAAAGAGGAGAAGAAAATCCTCTTCTCAGCTAGATCATGAGACCCTGAATGCATTGTAGGTATCATGCAGCAAGGTGCTGGAGGAGGTAGCCCTGTAATGAGTGCCAGAAATACAGGGAAAGCTGGAAGACAAGCTGGGCAGAATTTAAGGTTAAGAGAAGCATCTGCCACTGCATCTTCCATCAGAATTATGACACTTCCAAAGTCCAGTCTGTGGATTAACTCTGTTTAGGTAGTCCTTTTGTGGGGTAAAAACATGTAGAAAGTCTCACCAGCCTGACACCACTCTGTTACTGCTGTTGCAGCTCTGAATGTGTTGAGGGGAGTGGAGGGGGTGGCAGAAACCCCTTATCTTTGTAAAGAGGCATCCAGGTTTCTTCTGGTAGGTTCTCTCCTAGAAGCAGCTTTAGAAAAGGCACATAGAAATGTGTTTGTTCTGTAACACACAGGGTGGGCTCAGAAGAGCTCAGTATCTCTGAAGGAATGTATTCACCTGAGAAGGGAAAGATAAATCAGGTCAGATGGAAAGCAAAGCGGTCAGGACAGATGTTTTGAAGCATGGACAGGCTGCTAGAGCCGAGGGTAGGAGGCTTTACCCACAGGTACGTAGCAGGAAGCTAAGCCACAAGCTTTGGTTTAGTTTATTTTATTTTTTTTCACACTTTTTCCTTCTTCTATTTTATTTCTCTTCACCAGGCGGAGACGGCAGCAAATCGTATCTGCAAGGTGCTGGCAGTCAACCAAGAAAACGAGCAGCTCATGGAAGACTATGAAAAACTGGCCAGTGATGTAGGTGTTGGTTTCTGGGCAGTGCTGTGTGGAAAAGAATGTCATTTAACCCTGATAACTAATCCTGGGGAATGCTACTGGCCAGTGTTTCCCTGGAAAATTGTTTTCCTCCTTTTCTAGCTTGAGAAAAAGTAAAGATTGAACTTACCTTAAAGGCAAGGGCAATCTACTTTAAAGCAGAAAGCTCCCATTGAGCAGCTCTGAGATTCTCATTTTATTAAAAGCAGCCACAGAAATGCTAAAATTAAAGAAAAAAATCAAGCTGGTTGAACTTGCATTCCTCAGGACTATAAAACTTCATAACATCTTTCGAGCAAATTGTATGCTAATGCACTGCAGAAGTCAGAAACTGGATCGGAGAGAATGGAAGTTAGAGGTAATTGAGAAAAGAAATGTGCATTTGCTGATAGTAGGAAAGAATCTGTGTAAGTTACAAGCTGGAGGCTGCTTTGGTTAACTGAGAAAGACAGCTGACAGACTGACAGCCATGGAGCTACAGAAGTGACCAGCCGTGGACTGGACTGTATTTATTGAAAGTAAGTAGGGAGAAGAAGATGGGAGAACAGAAAGGCAAGCATAGCCCATGAGCCTGGTTTCAGCCTGATCTGAAAAGCATAGGACATTACTCCTTTCACACTATAGACTGCTCATTGCATTAGCATTTTGCCAGCTCCCCATGTAGCTTTGCTAAGGAGGGCTATTGAAATAGCAACACTGATTTCAAGGAAGGTAGAGTGGGAAAAGCACAACTGGAGGCAAGAGTTACAGCATCCTTCAGTTATTCAACAGTCCAGCAAAAACCTAAGGCTTTAGTGTAAGCTGAGGACATAGTTTGGTCCTGATTGTGCAAAAGTTATGCCTTAAGCATGTTGGGTTGGCAGTGCTGCAACAAGCAGTACTATTTAGTGTGGTAGGGAATGGGCTGCTCATTAAAAAGGCTGGCAAGCTTTTCTTTACAAGCCCTGCTGGTGGCAGAATCTTTCTGACACCAAGCATAAAAGTAAATGGTCCCTAATGAGATCAAAGCAACACCTGTGGTTTAAACACAGTTTTCAGTTCAAGGCTTTTTGTCATTGCTCTTTCCAGCTGCTGGAGTGGATCCGTCGCACCATCCCCTGGCTGGAGAACCGGGCCCCAGAGAACACCATGCAAGCCATGCAGCAGAAACTGGAGGACTTCCGGGACTACCGCCGCCTGCACAAGCCCCCCAAGGTCCAAGAGAAGTGCCAACTTGAGATCAACTTCAACACCTTGCAGACTAAGCTGCGGCTCAGCAACAGGCCAGCCTTCATGCCTTCAGAAGGGAAAATGGTCTCGGTGAGTGGGGGTAACCACTCATATATACCCCAGTCATGCTTACAAATGGAAGTCCTTTTCTGCCTTTGGATGGGCAGAGCATGCCCACCTTCAGAGTGAGCTACTCTGCAGTAGGAACCCTGAAGAATACAGCTCAGTGAGACCAGAATGAGAGATGATTGAGCAATCATTGATTCCCTGTTCTAAACCAGACTCAGGCCCTTCACAAGCCGCGTGCCTTTATGAGGAGATGTCTGGGTGTCTCTTATTCTTTCTGATTCATAAATGGTTGGGTTTTATTAAAGTTTCACATGTGTTCAGAGAGGGACTTCTGTGCAGACAGGTCCTGACACAGCTAGGCCTGTCTCTTAAATTGGCCTTTGTCTTCCTGGCCTGTCTGCACAATACTGTGAGATCAAAAGCCCACACTCACTCCCTCCAACCAATTGGAGGTAACTCACTGAGACTGGTGTTGATGAATACCTTCCCCCCATCTTCTAACCTGCCTTTTCTTCTCATGCCCCTGTCTCTAGGATATAAACAATGCCTGGGGTGGCCTAGAGCAGGCTGAGAAGGGCTATGAGGAGTGGCTGTTGAATGAGATCCGAAGGCTAGAGAGGCTGGATCACTTGGCAGAGAAGTTCCGGCAGAAGGCATCCATTCATGAGTCCTGGACAGATGGTAATGCCAACCAGTGTGCTTCCTATCACCTGACATAGTGCTGTACCTTATGTAGGGAGGAAGAGATGGATTGTGCATGAGATTTTCTTCTTGAGAAGGCTAGGTTTATTTCTTATTTTATTGGAAAATAAAGTGTGAAAATTGGCTTGATCTCTGTTCTCCTACACGATGCACCCACATTGGCATTCACTAACTGTGGCAAAGTGGGAACTTTGAGTACAAGAGAGCTATAGAGGAAAAGTTACTGCACAGTAATGCTACAGGTGGCCTTTACAGGACGAGCATAGCCCAGTTTGCACATAGAGGGCTATGAGACAAGACCAGTATAAACTGTGAGAGCACTGACTTGAGCTGCACTAGTGCCCTTCTCTGTTGTTAATGGCAAACTTGCACGCCGTGGTTTTAAAGTGAAGATTGTGCATTTCTAGGCCAGCACAGGTGAGGGCAAGCCTTGGGCACGGTGTCTAGAGTAAGGCAAACGCCCTTTCGAGGGCTCCTGGGGCTGACTCGGTGGCAGGGAGCTGGCTGGAAGCCTGTTCTTTATTCTCCTGTCCTTTGGCTCCCTCCGCAGGTAAGGAAGCAATGCTGCAGCAGAAGGATTATGAAACTGCTACTCTCTCGGAGATAAAGGCCCTGCTGAAGAAACACGAGGCTTTTGAGAGCGACCTGGCTGCACACCAGGACCGCGTGGAACAGATTGCTGCTATTGCACAAGAGCTCAAGTACGGCACCCTAGCGCACGTCCCATCCTTGGGGCCAGGGGGGCTTAATCAGCTTTGCCCTCTGGAGAGCCATAAATCCATCCCCATGCAAAAATGTTGGGAAGTCACAGTGTTTCCAAACAGTATCTAGGATACCGCTTCCCAGTATCCAGATACACCAGAAGAGCAGGCCAGAAAATGGATGAGTCGTGGGTGCTGATGAGGGGTCTGCATAATTACATTCCCAAGCCAAGTTTCCATCCTCTTCCAGCTTGTTATGTTGCTGTGAACCCTTTCCTAAAGAGTCTGACCTGCCACTGGCGCCTGTTAGGTTTCAAAGTTATAGCACTGTGGTACTTTTCTGGGAACAGAAGGATTTAGCAGAGGATAGCAGGTTCTCAGCTTGTTCTCTTTTATCCAAAAAAGTCCTCCTTATCCTAGCAGGAGAATATCTGCTGATGCTTGAGCCCATCACAGTCTCTGCTGCCACAACACATCCTTTGCCCCAGGGATACTGGCCCAAATGCACTCTGGTTGGCCCTTGCTCCAGGGCATCCTCACAGCAGCTCAGCTCCGTCTCTGCTTCTCCCCAGCTTGGAAACCTTTACCTCCGCTCCTTTTACTGGGGTGAAAACTGACGCAAGTTACCAGGAAAAATGGGGTCTCATCAGAGCAGGAGGTTGATGGCTAGGGGCAGGAGGCAGGTAAAGAGCTGGCCTCTGCAGCACAGGGAGAGAGACTCTGAAACCCTGCGTGTTTCTTGGCAAAAGCAGCCTGAACTACTTGGTTTTGACTGTGTTTCCTATTTTTTAAATATTTATATATCATACTGGCCTGTCTCAAGTTAGTGTCTGGGCCAAGGTCACTGCTCTTGTCTGAAGGACTGTTTTCATCTAAAAAATCAAGATTATTGGATCAAGATCATTATCTCCTTTAACAACACAGATTTACAGAATTGCTCCCTTATCCACTGGAGGATTGACCTTGGAACAGGAGGAGGGTTCAAGGCAATCCTCCATGTCAGTAAGATTAAAACCAAGGCTGGCTAGTCAGCAACCATTAGCTGACCTGCCACTTCCAAAGCACACACTACATGCCAGCCAGAGTAGCTGCAGCTCTAAGGACAACAGGGAAGGCTGGGCCCTAAGCTGGAGGAGAGGTGATTTCTTCCAAAGTCTGAGAACAGCAAGCTCTGCCATCCTTCCAAAAGCCATCTTCTGTCTCAGCAAAGAGCCATGCCCTGAAAAACATGGCTGAGCTCTTTTTTCCCCCAGAGATAGACTGCCGAGGAGAGGGAGAGGGTCTGGAGGAAACCACTGCAGCTGCCCATGCCAGGCATTTTTGGGGGCACAGCATGTTCCCCTCCCAGCAGCAGCGGTCCAGCATGGGTGCACTACAGGCCAGGCTTTCAGAAGCAGTTCTTTCATCTGCAATGCTGGCTCTGCAGCAAAGTAGATCAAGGAACTGATCTGGATTAAAAACCCAGCAAAGAAGTTATTTTTAGCCCAAATCGGTTTCCTGACTAGTTTATCGTAAGGCTCCACTAACAGTTGTGACCACATGCCTCAGGAGGGCAATACAATAGTGGGAAGAAACAGGGCTGGGGAAGGCAAGAGGAAACTGTTAAACCTACATTACTCTATAGAGAAATGCGCATCAGAGGGCCCATGGTCACTCAGTAGCTCAGTGAATTATTCTGCTTTCTCTTTTGATGCTGACACATCCCAGTTTGGCTGGTCTCCCTCTGCCTGCAGGTTTCTTCCTCTTTGACCATGAGCAAAACCAAGTGCACAAAACAATACAAGACCACAAGTTTCATCCACCTGTGCTCTTTCCCTAGCCATATTCTTACCAGCCGGCCTTCAATGAGTGCCAGCCTATAGACATCTCAGCAAAGCACTTTTTGTCGGGCATATTAGGAGAGAAACCTACACTAATTCTGGATTGTCCTAACTAAATGAATGGCATGTGTAATTTAGTTATTCCCTTGCTGCCTGTACTATACAACCCTCAGAACGATCTTAAGCATTTCCTTGCAGTCATAATAAAATCTTTGCTGCCCATTCTGATGTACAAGGTGCAAGTAGTTAGCCTGCATGATGTTCTTAAGCAGAATACAGGGGCATATTGGTCTGCTCATAATCTGCTTATTCACAGCTTGAACAAGTCTGTACTCCCTTCCCCCAGTGCCAAGTTATTCCCACCAGGCAGTCAGCACCAGTGTTTGTTGAGGCCTTGGGTGGTGGTTGTTTTTCTTCCTGTTCTGTGCTGTTTGATGTACCATAACATACAAGTGTCTCCAAAACTAGACACTGCTGCCTTCCTGGCTCGTTGTACTTGCAGAGACCATGAGCTCTTTGTTTGAGTCTGTCCTCAAAGCTGATAAAGATTTCTAATGGGTTTCTCATTCTTCCCCAAAAATTCTTTATTTGATCTTTTGTCCTTTTTTCCCCCACCCTTTATAGTGAGCTGGACTATTACGACTCCCCAAGTGTCAATGCCAGGTGCCAGAAGATCTGTGATCAGTGGGATAATCTGGGTGCCCTAACCCAGAAACGTA